TGAAGCCCAAAGCAGCATCGAAGACTGACTTATCCAAGTCAGAAATTAAGCTTATATGGGCAATCCTGCAAGGTCAATCTTTCTCTCTTCCCCATGTCATCATTTTCCATATGTATAGAACGTTACATAAGGACAAGGGACAACTACCATATGGTGCTCTTATTTTTCGAATCTTTATGTTCCTCAAGATATCCATTCCTGATGAGTTGAGCAAAACCCTTGTACCTTGTATGTATGTTGGGGAAAGGATGCTATCTAAGATGAAACAGTTTGATGATGTAAAAGAGAAAGCAAAGGGCAAAGAGGCTCAATAGTCGGGGGCCAAACCTGTTGGAAAGAAATTTGAGAAAGAAAAAGAGCAAGGAAAAAGAACTAGCTCTGCCAGCAAGAAGACTGTTTCTCCTAACCCAATCAAAGTGTAAAAGAAACGAAAAATTCTTCTGCATGATGAAAATGATGAAGCAGAAGCTGAACACTTTGAAACAGGATGCTCAGAACATGTTCCTGAACCAGATCCCAAGGTTTCAGAACCAATTCATACAGAACATGTTTCTGAAGGTGAAGCACCTGTTCAGGGGGAGATTCCACCGGAATCAGTCAAAGGGAACGATCAGCAAGCTAATGTCCAGGAACAGTCTTCTGTCAATCAGAACATTCTCTCTATTCTGCTTGAAATTAAAGAAAAACAAGCTGCTCTAGAACAAGACATGAAGACTCTTCAAAGAATTGTTGAGGAAAACAACAAATCTCAACAGCTTCAGGCGGCAGCAGACAAAGCAGATCTGGAGAAAGCCATCGCTACATGCTCGTCCAACATGGATAAGGCTGTAGGACAATGCAATTCGAAAATTGAGGAGACTGTCTCAATTTTGGAAAACTTTCAACTGATTCGTACCCCTTCAAACAAATAGCCTGTTTTTAACTTTTCTATACAATTAATCTGATTTCATCTGGTCTGTAATATTTCTGACAATTGATTGTTAGACTTATTAATTGCTTCATATCAATTACTTATTCTCTCCAAAGTTTATTTTTGTTGTTGACAAAAAGGGGGAGAAATTATATGCAGATTTGCAATACTAATGTTAATACGCAGGAACAAATGCAGGTTATATGCATAGGAAGAGAAAGACACAGACATCAGAGTTTGCTCTTTCTATATCAATCTGAGCATCAATACGCTTAATATGCTTATTCATTTTCAAATTAATTAAATTTGCAGGAAAGTTTTTGTCACCATCAAAAAGGGGGAGATTGTTGAGGAAAACTCCTATTGATTTTGAAGTTGACAAAACCTTCCAATTTATTGTAAATCTGAAACTTATTCCGAACTGATTTATTAAAGGAAGTTATTCAGACTTTACAAGTTGTCAAACATTTTATTGAAGACCCACATTATCCTAGTTCTGAGATTCAGACGCAAAATTAGTCAGATGCAAACGAAGAAATTATTCAGACGCAGATGCAGAAGTTCTTCAGACGCAGACGCAGAATTTCTTCAGATGCAGACGCAGAATTCAGAACCAAGTATAACAGCTAGTGATTCGGTATAGATTTCACAGAAGGAAAGTTTTGATTGTTTCAATCTAAAGCTATAACTGATTGACAATCAAATACTACGACAAGTATGCATTACAACGGACAAAACTCTACTTATGGAAACCAAGATTCTGATTGTATGGGCGAACAGAATCAGCGGGATTCAGAATCTGTCATCCAACGGCTACTCAATTCTTATTATACAAATCTGTCCACGGTGAAGATTGGAAGATGATCCTCTAATAGCTGTTCAACGGCCAGTGTGGAAATAGAGGAGTATTTAAGGAGATCAACGAGCAGCAGAAGGAAGAACATAATCAAGAATCAACAAGTCCAAAGTCTGAGCATACTCCGATCATTCTTTACTTGTCTTACTGAGCCTAAAACTAAGATCTTGAGGGATACATTGTAAGGGTGATTGTGTAAGATAGAGAGTCCCATCATACACAAGAGTGCTATTACTCTAAAGCTGTAATTCCTCATTGATTACATAGTGAAATCCAGCCGATAGGCTGTCAGCGTGGGAGAGTGGACGTAGGCTTACTATAAGCCGAACCACTATAAACTTGTGTACAGATTTTCTATTCCTTATCTTTTACTTTACTTTCTGCACATCAAGAGCATTGTTTATATAATCTGTCCTGAATCTGAATTCTTCAGTAATGTTATTCATTTCCGCATAAATATATAAAAATTATTTAAGATCACCTATTCACCCCCCTCTAGGTGATCCTTGCTAGCCACATCAGATGCATCGTCGCTCCTTAACAAATAAAAGATAGAAGGTATTCTTGAGTCAATAATAGTGTGAACTTAAGACCTACTCTGCAGTCAGTTTTGTGTAATAAAAAGAATACTGCAGTAATATTTTTGTATGGTGGTCCAAAAACAACAATTACTATACATCCGGCTATTCTACCCAAATTGACCATCAAACCGATAATCTGAGAATTCAAAAATAAACAGATGATAATTACAATTGCCTCTCAATTTTTGTGGATTCCATTCTTGCAAGAGTAATGAGCTACTGAAAATTTGAAGACGCAAGCTACTTCATAGTTCAGACGATGACTTGCATTCTCTTGTATTTTTTGTTCGTGTATTTGCCTTCTTTTTTCCATGGATATATGCATCAGAAATTCTAAAACTTATCGTAAAAGTGTAATCGAGTCCTAAAACTTTTAAAATTACAATCAAGTTCTAAAACTTATTAAATTTTTGCAATTAAGTCTCTTTATTAACCGTCTAGTATAGTTCACGGAAAGTGCTCACGAGAGCTTCCACATCAGAAAAAAAGTAGAAATTTAAAAAGAGAAGAAAAAAAGATATGAGTTAAAATAAATTATTTTAAATTAACAAAAAAAAAAGGGGGCAAGTTATAGGGCTGTTCTCCTTTGTCGGAGCCACTCCTCCGACGTACTGCGTCGGGCCACTGATGGTGACTAGTTGAGAAATCGAAAGTGGTGGTGAGTGGCACGAGTGCTTGGGCCGGCTTGACTCGCAGCCGAGCCGGAGCGTGCTGTTCATGAGCTTCGGGCGCATGGGGGTGCTCGACTCATAGACAATTGCAAGCGTTCCTCTCGTTCGTCGAAGTTTGTTTGGATCAGAGGTGATGGAGGTCTGGAACTTAAGTTTGATTTGTGCTTCCTCAGGGGAGAGTAAGCTAGCCTATGGGCCCGTTTGATTCGGCTTTGGGGAATGCCTTTGGCAAAATGCAAAGGTCTTCGAGCTAAAAGGATTTTTCGAAATGCAAGTAGTGTTTGATAATGTGCATTTTAAAATCACATTTGAGAGCAACTTTGGCCTAAATACAATTTGGTAAAAATTATATTTTGTAAAAGACTTTTACTGATATTTAAAAAAAAAGAAAAAAAAACAATCTTGATGGAGCTCACCCACCGATTACCACCGCCGGCCAGATCTGATCGCGCAGCCACCGCCGCCTGACCTCAGGCGAGGTGGCCTAAGGTCGTGTGACTTGAAGCGTCGCCTGGGTCGCACAACCCAGGCGACGCCTGAGGTCATCGGACCTCAGGCGGCGTCGACTGGGTCGCGCGACCGCCACCTAGGGTCACCGGACCTCGGGTGATGCCTTGGGTTGCGCGTCCCAAGCAACGCTTGGCCTGGGTCGCGTGACCCAGGCAACGCCCAAGGTTTGATGACCCCAGGTGGTGGTCATCGGGGTCGTGCAACCTCGGCGACCACCGCCTGGGGTCGCGCGACCACAGGCTGCCTATCACATGGGGCTCGTTGGGGTCGCGCTACCCCTCAGGCGGTAGTCGTCGGCCGCTAGACCCAAAGCTTGAATAAGATGAATAGTAGTCGCTTGATGAACAGTAAAGTTGCATCCCGAAAATGCAAGTTCCCCAGGGCTTCTTCATTCAACCAAAGGCCCTTGGCAAGCTTTGGAGATGCAATTGCCAAACAATTTTACATTTGCTCAAGGGACTTTAGAGTCCCAAAGCAGCATTCAAATGAAGAAACCAAATAGGGCCAATGAAAAGAGTTCAATTAATTCAAAAGTGAACAGGGACCAACGACAAAGCCAGAGCTGTCGAAGATGCAAAACGAGAGGTTTTTTCGAACTTTAGATTGAGATTTTCGTGGAGTGGCAAAATTAAGATAGGGAGAATGAAAAAAGTTTGCAATGCACAGTTTGGAGAATTAAAAGATCTGGCGAGGGTCGGATATGGCGAGGGTTGCCCTCGTCCGCCCAGGCGAGGATGACCCTTGCCTGACGCCGGCAAGGGCAGCCCTCGCCGGCTTTCTCCGCCAAAGAGAAGAAAAGAAAAAAAAAATAGAAAAAGGAAAAAGACGAACATGCCGATGGCCCAAAGTAACGTGGGGTAAATGCGTCATTGGTAAAATAGTTTGAGGTTTTTCGTGTCACAAAAAAAAAGTTTAGATAAATTTATTACAAGTGACATAGTTTGGAGTTTTTCATGTCACAAAAAAAATTCAGGGTAAATCTGTCACAAGTGACATAATTTAGAATTTTTTGTGGCATTTTCCCTTATTCATTTGTTTTGCTAAGTACCCGTTTTTTTTTTCTTAGATGGACTTCTATTCGTTCTGTTTTCAGATTTGTTTCTTTCTTTTAATTTGTTTTTCTAAAGATCCAAATAAGCATTTTTTTCATCGGAGAATAATAAACAAATAAAATAAAATCACATCAGCATTTTCTGTTAATTAAATTGGACGGAGCTAATAAAGACACTTGATTGCATCAATTTGATAAATTTTAAAATTTAATTGCACATTCACGATAAATTTTAGATGTGCACTTATCCACTTTTTATATTATATTCTAACTTGCAAACAGCTATATATTATGCAAAAATATTTCCTGATGATTTGACTATTTATTTAATTGGTGTGAGCCGAAACTAATTTCATCAACAGGTACAATCTTTAGGAGAGAGTACTCGAGAAGAGAGGAGAATAGGAGAAAAGAAGTATACCGAGCTCCCACAAGATGACACGGGTCCCCAAGAGCTGCCCTCTTCATGAGCCTGCTAAAGTCAATCAAATCCCTTGTCAGTTATAAACCATTTTCAAATGACTCGTATAAACGTTGATTCTAAAACACTGTTAATTGCGGCGAGGCAACACTATGCCAGCAGCAGTGTTTAGATTGAAAAGAGACGATAGCGCGGGAGAAAAAGGGGAAATCAAAAGGTAATAAAAGCACCTTTACTTCACGGTAGTGTACCAGAACAATGTGCGAGAGCTCCCTGTAACAGTCAGCAAAAAGATGGAACAAGAGAAAACTGCAGTCAAGACATTTTGCTTTCCCCTGAATGAGTTCCAATGATGTTCTCCTATTATAATCTCTCCTTTACCAAGAAGAGAAAGAAATTATTTTCAACTTATTGTCCAAAGAAAGCATTATAAAGTACCAAACTAACTAAAGTAATTAACTCGTGAGATTTGTTGGAACCACAGTCAACTATTATGAAAGCTTTAATTTTTAGATAAAGGCGTAATTTAATATTTAATTACTCTAATATTATCCCTTATGCTTAGTTTGATCTTTTTACCTAGTACTAAGATTGACACATTTAATCAGGGAGGCAAATAAAGCTCAGAAAGATTTGAACTTACGATCTCGTGGCTTTGATACAATGTGAGATTTTGTGGGACCATAGTCAACTGTTTTAAACTTTAAGCTTTTATATGAAGGCAAAGTTTAATATCTAATTACTCTAACATACTTAAAAGCAATTTTTTTTTTAGCTGTCAACTATGTGCCTTATCTATCTACAGATACATATACATATACAGAACCACATCCCCCCACCAAACACACGCACAGAAGATAAATTATTCATAATGAATAGCCTTTTTATCCCAATAACCTTATTCTTTGAAGATTATCTATTAAGACCTTACAGAAAACTCACTCTTCGGGCATCCAATAGCTGCGTCGCTGAAAATATTCATTATGTTCTCCATGTGCATAATAGCATTGCAACATGTCAACATTTCCCACCTGAAATGATTATACTTCATCTACTATTAAAGACTGCATAAGAAGACCTTCAGGGTATAGCTACAAAGTCAGATATCTTACGTGGAGTCTCTCGTGAGCTTCCCCCACTGTCTTCCGATCTATTTTCTTCCTCCACTTATACCCATCCCTTCTGAAGTATCTGAGCGTCTTCTTATCATAAAGAAATAGAGAACCACCTGCATACAAAAAGTAGGGAAAATTCCAATTTGGGGTCCAAAGTAGGGCCATTTTCTCAATTTGGGATCCCAAGTGGATTTAGTGCCAAATTGATACCCAAAGTCCCCAAAAAATGTCAAACAAGGGTCTGGGTCGCCGGCCGACCAAAATACCCGCCGGCCGGCGATACGGCGACTGTTCCGGTGAACGGAAACAGTGTTTTTATATATTTTTTTCTTTTTTCTGTTCCTTTTCCTCTTTTTTTTTCTCATTTCCCTCCGCCGGCCATTGCCGGGGCCGGCGGAGGTCGCCGCCTCGGGCGGAGGCGGTCCCTCGCCGACGAGGGCGACCTGGGCCGGGCGAGGATCGCCCCCGCCGGCGTCGGGCGTGGGCCGCCCTCGCCGGCCGGGCGGGCCGGGCGACCCTCGCCGATCCGGCGAGAGCATCCCACGCCGGATCCGGCGAGGGTCGCCCTCGCCCACCCGGCCCGGCGAGGGCGACCCGAGGCGGCGAGGTCGCCCTCGCCGGCGAGGGTCGCCCGACGCCGACGAGGGCGACCCTCGCCCGGCCCTGGGTCGCCCTCGCCGGTGAGGGCCGCCTCCGCCTGAGGCCGGCGACCTCCGCCGGCCCCGGCAATGGCCAGCGGAGGGAAAGGAGAACAAAAAAAGAGGAAAAGGAACAGAAAAAAATAGAAAGAAGAAAAAAAAATATAAAAACACTGTTTTCGTTCGCCAGAACAGTTGCGGGATCGCCGGCCGGCGGATATTTTGGCCGACCGACAACCCGGACCTTTGTTTGACACTTTTTAAGGACTTTGGATATCAATTTGACATTAAGTCCACTTAAAACCCCAAATTGAGAAAATTGCCCTATTTTAAACTCCAAATTGGAATTTTCCCCGAAAAGTATGACCACGTGAGGCATGCAATGAGAGAGTCTACCTTTACAAAGCACATCTCATCTGACATGGTCGTTCCCGAGGACATTACAAGGGACAGGTGTCAGAAGTTTTTCATTTCACACGAAAAAGAAAGGAGAGAAACTAAGCAAAAGCAATCAATGAATCAGCACTTTAAAACACAAAACCATGGAAAAAACAGGAAATGCAATTCCGTCTACAATTCAGACCGAAGCAGCTACAGACACTAATTATACACAAGGAGAAAAACAGGAAACTCCGTGAAGCAGGACTGAGGATCAACTATGTAAAAAGACCAAGCAAGCAATAATCATCTCTGAATGGATCTTTAAGATAAGAAAATAGTTCAAACAATCACCAAAAATGAAAAGCGTTAATACCGCAAAAAACCTCAAACTGGTACGCCTGTGACAATTTTACCCCAAATTAATTTTTTGACTATCAAAAACCCCAAACCGGTATACCTGTGACAAATTTACTCTCAATTTATTTTCGTTAAATTTTACTGTCAAATTGTTTTATTAAATGACACGTGGCAATTGACAGATGTACCAATTTTATGTTTTACCCTCCGTTTGTCATAGACATACCAGTTTATGATTTTTTGTGGAATTAATTTAATTTAATGGAAATTAACGAATGGTAAATTTATCACAAATGTACCAATTCAGGGTTTTTTATGGTCAAAAAATTAGTTTTGGGTAAATTTGTCATAGGTGTACCAGTTTGAGGCTTTTCATGATCCAAAAATTAATTTGGGATAAAATTATCACAAGTACACCAGTTTGAGATTTTTTGTGATATTAACCAAATAAAAAGTAGATACTGCCTGCATTCGATGTGATGTGAGTGATTGCTTCCACCTCCTCCAATGACATCTCAATCAAACCACAAAAGCATTAAGCCATGAGGAGACGATACGAACCCAAAAGGCGTAACTCATAGCACCAACAATATACAACAAAAGTAACTATTACTGTAAAGTCCAACATTGTGAACTTGTTAGCTGTATTATGATATTATAGAAAATGCAAAAACTTATTAACATGGTATCCAGGAGGTTCCACAGTTGTTGATTATTATCCGTTCATTTGGAGTATGCAGGCATGTAACTTACAAAGTAGGAAAAATGAAAAAGGAATCCAATATGAATCAGTAGGATGTAGAGATCTTGCTCCTCACCAAGAATCAGCTTCTACATAGAATTATTCATGCTATCTACAATTATTACTTCATATAGAAAGCACACTCACTTAGAAATACAAGATTTAGAAGAAAAGATCAAGGTTACACCGTGAATCTGAAAGTGATAAACCTAACCATAAAATTACCCAATTCATAGGGAAAACCAACATACTTGGAGGCATATTTGCAGGCTCTGGTGTAATTGGAAACTTTTTGTAGTTTTTAAGAATTTCACAAATTTCAGCTGGGCGTAACCACCGATCTTGTGCGTCCATAAGTATTTGCTGAATATCTGCATCAAATCATATCCCAATCTGTAAAATTATTTCAAATTGCTGAAAGATTTCATTTATCTTTGGAAATTAAATATAAAAAATCGACATATTTCTATTTACTGGTAAAATTAAAGTTGAGATACCAGAGTGTAAATTTTCCACGGCATTATAATAACCGACAAGGGATGGTAAATTTTTTTTTCCTTTTTAGCTGCAGTCAGACGATTCAACTAATGTTGACGGTAAGCAGCCAAATAACAATAAAAAAAAATGAACCTCCTCCTAAACCTCTTCAGTGTGAGGCCATGCTAGCGCATTATCATTAGCCAAATGAAAATGCAAAATACCCCCCTAAAATGTTGGTAGTTCCAAGAACAAATCTCTTAAAGAAGACGAGTAGATGCAGACAGGTTGGCAAGCAACCTGTAGAAATGCCAGATGCAGGTGGGGCCGGTACTTTTTTGTGTCCACCTCTTTCCAACGGGGGCATCGCAAATCCCTAAAAAGTACAGTTTGATTCCAAGCTCTATCTTGGCTAGTATAATGCTCCAGGAAGTGTAGTCGGGAAACAAAAGCAAATGATCATTGTTGTGTTGCCCCAGAAAAGGAGGTGTATGACAAGGGAATTCTTGTTGTGAGAGAAACCATGGATGACTCTTGATTTACACCTTACGTGGAGTATATTGACTGCTCAAAATTGTCGTATGAGTGCAAGTGCATTTCGGTGACCATGTTAAGCACCCAGAAAGGAATGTGAGGAACTTTGTTTCGAAGTGAATGATATTTGGGAAAAGATCTAGTAAGAGTATATGGGCTTCGTTTAAAAGAACATGCAGTCAAAGCTGTAGCACTAAATATTAAAATTTCAGATGGTGCATGAGGGCCTGCCCTAGAAATCATCGATCAATTTAGTTGTAAGACTGCCTCATCTTTCATTGAGGATACCCTCGTCTTTTGCAACACTGACTAAATCACAACACCACCCGAATTCAACCAAAAGTTGCATGTGTCTAATTAACCTCCATTGCCTCTTGGCATTGCCTAGCAAACAACTAAAGTGACCTGCCACAGAGAATGGAAGCTGACAGAGAGGGGTTTGCGAATGTTTCTTGAGACACTTTTTCATTGTATCATTTCCAAGAATCAAGCATAAAAAAGGATACCTTGCCTCCAACGAATTAAAGTAAAGCTCAGAACACCTAAGACGAGGATTTGTCAAGACTCGCTAATCCCGCAAATTAGAATAGTACAGGAGACACAAAAAAGAAGAAGAAGAGGAAAACAGAGCAAAGAACAACAACTACAACGACACCCTCCACATAAACTCCAATTCAAGCTACCGTTACTTCAACCAAAGAAAGACGCACACGCATCGCGCAAAGAAAAAATTCTGACATCTTCACGGAGAAAGTTACGACGAAAAATTGGAAACGAATGATCACACGCAGCAATTTCCATCGACATCGAATTTGTGATTTACCGAGCACGTTTCGCCTCGTGTCAGCCATGAACTATCTCAGTCGATCGGCAAAAGAATGGAGCTCTCAGTCTTTGCCACCTCGGATCTGAACAAGCTCGAAGCACGAAAAAGTATTGCGATAGAAGAGACGAATTTAATGGAGAGAGAGTGAAGTTTGTTGCGGGCGAAGAAGAAGATGATGATATTTTTAAGGAGGGATGAGTGAACTAGAAGTCCTAAAATTTATCATGAAAGTGTAATTGAGTATTAAAACTTTTAAAAAATACAATTAAGTCCTAAAATTTATCATAAAAGTGCAATCAAATTCTAAAACTTTTAAAGAGTGTAATCAAGTTCTAAAATTTGTCATCAAAGTGCAATCGAGTTCTAAAATTTATCAAATTGATCAAATCAAGTCCTTTTTGAAAGTTTTAGAATTCGATTACATTTTGGTGATAAATTTTATGACTTGATTGCGCTTTTTAAAAGTTTTATGACTAAATTACACTTTCGTGATAAGTTTTAAAAATTTCAGTGCATGTATCCTTTTAAGAACTACATCTACAGGCATTACCGTCTTAAAAAATGATCGACCCAAAATCTTATATTTTTTGTCCTTTTAATTTTATCATGAATTTGAGTATTTAATTTTCAAGTAACGTGGCCGAGGAGAGAGAAAAAAAATTGTGGAGTAATTCTAAATCCTAGTTATTTTTGTCCATTGGCCAATTTATGAGGAAGGGCGAGATTAAACTAATTGAAAACTGTGTTTTTCTTACTCATGGCTATCCTATCAATTTGGCTATGCGATGTAAATTCTAAAAATCGAAGAGTGAGAAAATCCGTAAGTTCGTTTGAAATTTTTTTGATAAAGTCGCTATGGATTTCGTTCTGCCTTCTAAATCTACTATTCTCGGACCATTCTTCATCTAGCTTATTTCCCGGTTGCAATTTGCTTATAAGTCTTGCTCTTTATTTTTGTTACATGAACAACAAATTTTGTTGGTGTCAACACTTAAAAATAAAACCATGTCTAGTTAATCGACATAATGCAGATACAGAGTTCGGTGTTAATTGATTACAATTGGTGATAAGTGGTCAATTATAGAGAAGCTAATCGACGAATACAACAATCGACATGATGCCAATAAAAAAATTCGTGTCAAACAAGTAGATTGTCAATAGAGGGCTTATCGGCTTGTTGATAATTGTGAATATCAATGACCAAGTATTGTTATCGACAAACAATGATGATTGATTGACGATTGACACTTAGTAGTTGAAGGCAGAGTTGAAGACGACAAAGATATCGATTGAAGTCCGATGAGCAATTCGTGGAGAAGATCAATGTGTAATTATGGAGATCAATTGTGGAACCAGAAATTACAGACGTGCGATCGAGCTTAGCAACAATTGGGGATTTACCACAGCATATGGATAACATGAACATGCGGTTATGGGGCGTGGTCATGGAGCCGAAGATTATGGATGTTTAGTTGTAACCTGCAATTGAAGTATATGCATGCTGCTTCAGAGTTCGGACGATGACTTGCATTCTGTTGGAGTTTCAGTTCGTTTGTTTCCTTTCTTTTTTCTATTATATTCTAACTTTACAGCAACTGTATAATCATGTAACAATATTTCGAGGTGATTAGACTTTTTATCTATCTGATGTAAAACACACTTAAAGCTGAAACTAACTTCATCAAAAGTTACGATCTTTAGGAGAATTTCTTGTTAAATATTGCTCGAAAACCATCCATCCCGTGATCCAAAAGACCCCATTTGCTCAATAGTTGCTTATAAAATCAGCCATAGGTTATATTAAAAGCAAACCACCAAGGATTGATGAGGATCAACAATAATTGACAATTTCATAATATTTATGAGTTGTGGAATGTGGGAATTAATTTAAAAAAAAACGACCATTACCGAAGGAAAAATATTTAAAATGACCAAAAGAAGTCTCTATCATGGGTCTATTGTTTTATTAATTAATTAGGGTTAATGCCACAAAAACCCTAAACTGGTTCACCTATGACAAATTTATCCAAAACTAATTTTTTTGCAGCCAAAAATCCTAAACTGGTACAATGACAAATTTACCCTCTCTTAATTTCTTTTAAATTTTATTGTCAAATTGCTGAGTTGAATGATACATGACAGTTGACAAGTGTACTAGTTTGGGGTTTTACTCTTCCGTTTGTCACAAATTTATCAATTTGTGATTTTTCGTAGTATTAATCCAATTTAATGAAGGGTAAAATTGTCACAAGTATACCGATTTGAGATTTTTATTAGTCAAAAAATTAATTTGGGATAAATTTATAATAAATTTATTAATTTAAAATTTTTCGTAATATTAATTCTATTAATTAATAAAAGGTTACCATTGGTCATCAGAAAAGAGAAATAATTAAGAGAAAACGACCACTACCGAAGGAAAATGTTTTGAAATGACCAAACCAAGTCTGCGTCAGATCGGGTCAATTATTCTTTTCAATTATTGCACTTTTGGAAGCCACCATTTGGCAGCATTATCTAACGCAAACTACTTTCCCAGATTCCAGAGTAGTTGAAGACGAAACATTGTTCGGTCTAGTGGTCTCCACTGTCCAAGTCCTCTCGGACGTGCTGAGCGAGGCGCGGAAGACGCTGACACTTGGATGCTGCTTTCATTTATTGTCCTTATCACTGTTTATTCATCACATGATATTTGTATTCATTTGCGGAATTTGTGGTTCATCCTTATCATTTCGTATACAGTGGACTCCAACTTTTCCAATATGTGTTGCCCAATTCCTCCATTATTTGTGTACCTCCTTCACTTTTACGTGGGGCTATCGAAAATGATGGAGCCGATTTGACCGATCTAATCGATACTTTAAAAGCTCGATTATTGGATGACGACCTTATCAAGAATCGATTCGGCATGTCTTCCCTGTTGGTGCATAGACATATATAAAATCATATGTCTGTGTTGGAGTAGCATCACATCACTCATCGAGGGGAAATCTGACCCCAAAACGCGTGAAGCACGAGATGGACCTTGCGTTGCGTTGCATCGCTCGACCTTGACTTGTTTGTGCTGTGACCCACGGCCATTTAAATGTGTAATAAAAACTCAAAACAAACTCCTAAATATCATCAACTCAGGTTGCAATGACGGGCAAAGCTTCTTGCAAGAATCAACTTCCCCGGTAAAAAAAATAACGAAAGAAAACAAATAGGTTACCAAGAAAGAGGATGGTCATGCAAGAAGACAAACTTCTATGAGACTCATAGAGCAACACAAATAATTGGTCTATTTATTATTATTATTATTATTAGCGCTGCTGCTGTTGCTGCTGCTGCGAGAAAATATTAGGTCACTTTTTCCGATAATGTCTTAAAAATTAATTTTTTTGCTTTTAAGAAGTATTTCTTGTCAACGCTGGCAATAGGTGTTGACTGGTTCACCTATGTGTGGGGCCCGACTAGTATAAAACAGAATAAGAAGAAAGAAACAAAAAGTCAAAAGGTCAAAAGCAAAAGAAGAAAACAAAAAGAGGGGCAGCTTCGTGCGGGGGTGAGCCCGAGGGGAGAGAAAAGGAGTGAGTGCACCGACAGGGACTCACCAAGAGAGCGCGCGGGAGAAGAAGAGAAAGAGGGCTGAATTTTGTGGCCCGATTCGAAGGCCAAACAACGTTGAAATTGACTTAAATTTTAGTACGTTGTTCGTGAGATTAAGAATTACGAGTTGATAGGTTTCGTTCGTTGAGAATCTCTTCTAAATTAATAAATATACTTTTATGAAGCTTGCAACATGAGAATTAATAAATAAATAAAAATTCACCATTGTCCCATAAAAAATATTTAAAATGACCAAGAGAAGTCTATGTCAGTGGGTGAATTGTTTTTATGAATTGATAAAATATTAATCATCCAAAAAGAAAAATAATTAAAAAGTTACTACTACCTAAAAAAAATATTTTAAAATGACCAAACGTAGAGTGCATCAAAGAATGGGTAAACTATTTTTTTTTTTTTCAATTCTTGTGCTTTTGAAAGCCACGGCTTTGCAGCATTATCTTATGCAAGGCATCTTACAACCGAGTACTTAGAGACGAAACAAGCCGAGAACATGCTGGTCCATTGGCATCTCCCCTGTTCAAGTCTTCTCGGAAGTTTTGAATCGTGTTATTTAGTTTGGGTTGGATTGGATAGGCCTAAGCCGGGTGAGTGACTCATCTAAGTCAGAAATCCTTAAACTTGTTCCAACTATTTATGTGCTTGCGCGCGCCATTTCGGCCCTTAAGTAGATTATATTTCAAAGTGATACGTTTTAGCTATATTTATGTAAAATTCTTCTAATTAGAGATCAATTTAGTTTAAGCAACATATTGTGCTTAAAGGACAATTCATTGTGCTAATATTTTTGGCTTACTAAAAGTTTGTAAAATATATGCGTTGCATGGACATGGAGATCTTGATTCTAAGTCCATTATAATGGAAGTTTTCGTTATGTTTCCAGAAGAAGATTGAGAAAATTGGTTAATGAGCCGAATTTGGCAATGAATACATATACCTAATTTTGTCCATGAAATGCTTACTATAGATAATAGCATGCCCTTGTATTGTCTTTCAACTTATGGTTTTTGGAGAGTGCCATAACCCTAGCTTTCATTTGATTCAGAACCTAGAGGGTTGTATCTGGGTCCAAAGTTTAGAACCGCTGTCAAACAAGTTTCAGAGTAGAGCAAATACCCATTCTTTTTTGAAATGATAGCCCCATTCATGAACCTAGATAGACACGATGTCCAAGTTTAACCAGTCAATGGATGCACAATGCCAATGCCAAGCCAACAGGCTTTGACAGTCATCATTCGCTCATTCGCTCCACACTGTTTGGGAGGCGTGGAAGACGCTGACACTGGCACGCACCTGCACAGGAGGAAGAAGACGAAGTGAGAGCCACAAGCTCTCCTCCCCCACCACCTTCCCTCTTCCCCAAAAAAGATGGTCTTTTGTCCCCTCCTGTTTTTTTCCCATATCCGACAGGTTGTCGCGAATTTTGGGAAAAAAGACAACATACTTCTATGAGGTGTGGGACACGGGAATAAATAAAAATATAGCCATTATCAAAGATAAATTATTTAAGATGGCCAAAAGAAGTCTATATCGGAAAATGGGTGAATT